TAGTTTCTCTTCTTTTTGTTCTGATGTGTTTCTCAAATGTCCGTTGTAACTCCTGAAGAGTCGAGGGTAGTCAGATACGTTGACACTCGTCTGTCTTGAGCAGAATAAGACAATTAAATACTGCCCCTTATCAGGATCCTGGCTTTGAGATCAGCTCTTGAGTTTTCAAGGAGTGCAGGTCACTAATCAATACAGCCAAGATGAAAGGGGGGAGCAGAGAACATGGAAGACACTGCGCCCTTGCCCTCCTGTATTCACAGAGACTGTACACCAGAGCAGGGCCGGGGGTCACTTTTAAATCTCTCTCCTTTGGTTGGGAGCCAGTAGACATGCACCTTTGAACCTGAGTCCATGGAATGTGGAGGTTCCAACTCTCGGGTGCCAGCACCCTCCCTGTCCCCCCAATGCAGGTTCACCTAATGTTGCTCTTCTCCAGGACCTACACCTAATTTGCACCTCTCCTGTCTCCCCTGGCAGCAATGAGTGTGCTGTCACCCTCTGAACCCGATGGTGTGGAAGCCAGTGGACCCCCCACACAGACTCATCCTCTCTACCAAGTACCAGTTCTAATGCCCTCCATGATGCTCGTTAGGGGTGGGTGAGGAAACAATTCATAAGGTCACCCCTCACCCCTCTCGGCGGAGTCCGGGAGCACTGGGGAAGGACAGCTCTCCAGGCCTCCCGTCAGGGCAGAATCCACAGCTTTGGCTGGGCGGCGGGGTGGCTCTTTGTGCTGAGGCTTCCATCCGCAATGCCAGAGCGGGGTAGGTAGGGTTTTCGGTTCTTCCTGGGATGCCCAGAAATCAGCTTCGTGAGTCTCTTCTACTGTTCATCAATTTTGTTTGAGGAGAGTTTCCTCCAACAACATGGCCATATTGGATCCGAATGAAAAATAACTAAATTCAGAATTATTGGAGGAAATGATGTCTTAAGAAAATCCAGTTTCAAGGAGGAGAAAATATATACATAACATGGTAAAGATAAAAAGGAAATTTAAGACTTGAAACCTAAAAAAATCGGTTTGATTGTTTACTTTTGGACATTTTTATTAATTTTACTTTTCAATAGAATGTTATTGCTAATGTATACCCTTTCCCCTCCTAACTACCTACCAACCTAATGAGGGACTTGAAATTCCACATTTTTGAAAATCCAGTTGTTCCAGCAATGACTTATCAATTCTCGTTATATAATTTCTACAATGAAACACAGCAAACATATGAAGTCATATCTCATATGAAGTACTTTGCACCAACAAGCACGTAAAAGACACTGCTGAGAGAGGAATAAGCTTTTATTGTTGCTCTAGGGTTTTATTTCAAGAGTCTCCATCTCTCTTCGTGGTAGTGCTGTCCTGTGTCCAGTGAGGTCCCAGGTGATCTGATTCATTTGCCTGCACGCAAAGGCTCAAAGAAGAAATCAGCCCTCTTGACTAAGTCTCTTCTGACTTTGGACTTGTGTCTACACACATCTTCTAGTTGTAAAGTCTGCTTAATTAGAATACAAGGATAAATTAACAAGTATGTTATGATATCATAGAAACCTTCATGGAACCAGAAGATCAAAGGTGAAGCTACACTTCTGAAAACAATGTTTCCACGTCTCTGTCCCATCCCAGAAGAATTTTGTAGTCTTTTCTAGCATGGAAAATAGTAGCTTCGGTCTTTCTGTCCTCTAAGGATGCAAATCTTACTCCTTTAACGGTTTTTTGATTGGACAAATAAAAATCAGTTTGAAGGTGCAAGATAAGGGCTGTAGAGTGGATGAGGTCAGTTTTCCGAAGAAATTCTTCTAATACATCCCTTGTAACCCTGGAAGAATGAACAGGTGTATTACTATGATTGAAAAGAATTCCTTGGCTCCGCCTTCTTGGCCTCGTTTTCAACAGCACAGTTTTCTATTTTCTAAAAACTTCCTAAAGACCCCCAACGGTCATACTATGCCCTTGGAGAAATCCTTTCACAATTTCCGCTGTGTTGTTGTAGCTCGGGCGCATGAGTTGGGTCTGCCCCACACTGATGCTATGCGTAATGGAAGGAAGCACATCTTGGTCCTGCGTCCTCACAATTGTTCCTGTGCTCGTCCATCTGTGTCCTTGAGGGTCTTCCTCTTTGGGGCTGCCCCTCTACTTTACCAAGCATCATGTCCTTCTCCATGACCTCGTCTCACCTGGAAGCATGTCTACTTTCCATGAGAGAAGTCTCACCATTCTTACCTCTAAGGAGCATCTGGCTCTACTTCTTCCAAGACAGATTTGTTTGTCCTTTTAGTAGTCCATGGTTCTTTCAATATTCTTCTCCAGCATCACAATTCAAACACATCAATTCTTCTTCGCAATGTCCAAGTGTCACGTGCTCACGAAGCAACATAAAATACCATGGTTTGGATTAGGCACACCTTAACCCTCAAAATAACATTTTAGCTTCCAACACCTTTGAAAAGCATTATTCAGCAAATTTGACCAATGGCGTGTGCACCTTTTGATCTCTTAATGGCTGCTTCCATGAGCATTGTTTGTGCATCCAAACAAGACAAAAATCCTGGAAGACGTCATACTTTTTCTTTTCAATCTTACAACTTTGGGATTTCCAAAAATAGTCACCATAACTATCTGAATTGACCTGTCTGCCTTAAATGTAACAGGCCCAGCAGGTACTATCAGTAGCAACCGTGTTTGAAATCACCCGAATAAAACTAACACTAGAGTCTGGCTGAGAGAAGCACCCTGCAGCCATTCACTGAGGAAACACCACGTCTACAAATGGCTTCTTTGGAATAAACCCATGCATGGATTATCTAGAACCCTAGTAGAAATACTTTCTGATTGACCCCCATCGCGACATATGAGTATAAGGGTCTATATCTAATAGCTAACTCATTTATAGTAATAGATAAGTTAGTAGAAGAACTTGAGTAGGAGAATACTAGGATAGCAATATGAACAACAGCATATATTTGTTTCATAAAAAGCTTTTCATTTAATACTATACTTCTGATAGCATTTTATATGTTTTCTCACACAATAGTACTGGATAATTATTTCCATTTTATAGCAATTATAATAATAGTTTATATTTGAAAGAGTCAATATAGGCCAATATTTTAACAGAAATTAAACCATTTATTCCCACAATATGTGGTATGTTTATCATTTACCATCTTAATTGGGAAAACTAAAAGGGGGAAAGGTTAAATAATTTGCTAAGGGCTTTCAGATAATAATTGGGAGCATTTGAATTAGCACAGAAACCTGTAACAAGTGCCTACATGGTGCATACTTTTTCCAAAATTCAGCATTTGCCAGTTCATATTTCCCATATGCCACAGATGAAAGAAATATACTACAAAGCTTTCTTTCAAAACACACAAAATAAAGAGGCGGGAATATCTATTTTGACAAATAGGGAAAGAATAATATGAAAAAGCTTGTCCAAGGTCACGTAGAAAATCAGTGATAAAGATTGTTCAGGAACTCAGCCTTCAGAAATCAGAGCATAGAGTTCTTTCTAGTATAGTACTGGTAAAGCATCGGCCTTAGATGTCGAGGATTTTCATTCTAACCCTTATTTCACTTTTTACTAACCACGGAACCTCAGGTAGATCACTGGGTCCCTTTATCTTTCGTTCATTTCTCTGAATCAAAGCATTGGGTGTGTGGTTGTTGGGGATTCAGCGTCGGTGTAACGTGATAATCCCTGTGCTGCCTCCATTACCTGGAACAAAGGCTTAAAAAAATGACCAAAAGTTCTAGTCAGAAATATGACCATTTTACTCAAAACTCACTGCCTTTGAGAAGATTCCTACTCATTGCAACCCCATCAGAAAGAGTCAAACTGTCCCCTTGCGTTCCGAGACTTTACATCTTTAGAGAAGACTTTGTAGGAGTAAACAGCCCCCTCTTTCTCCCAAGAGTGGCTGCTGTGTTCTGTGCGTAACCCACTGTGCTCCCTGGCTCCTCGGGACACCAGGGATGTGGTGAAAACGACAACACTTGTTCTTGAGTTCCTGCCCATCTACCTTTTGTCAAATACCACTTACTCTCCTCTGTCCCAAGCCAGGTGTCTAATTTTCTCTGCCACCTATGAGATTCAGAAGATAGTAAGTAAGGCATTGCCTAGGAAATAGAAGAACTTGTGTCAGTTCATCTCCTGGTTAGAAAATAAAACCCACATATGTCGGATTCAGCAACCAGAACTGAATACTAGTAGATAGATAGCAAACCCTTGTTTCATTTGCTTGCTTTTGGTTTGATTTGATTTTTCCCCCATCTAGATTTCCATACCTTTCTGATGGTTGATAATTTCTTTTTTCTACACAGTGTTTTAGGTTCTTGTAGCCAAATGAACACACATCTGTCCACATAGTGTTCATTTTTATTACGGTACTTTGAAATATCAAAATTGTCTTCAGTGAGACAATTATCTTAAAAAAATATTCATAAGATACTAGTTGACAATTTACAACTTTACATTTTGGTGCTAAGTAAACACCATGAAATCCAAAGACAGGCTCCAACATGTTCATTTTTGGAGCCTAGGATGTTTTTGTTTCCCTAAGAAAACAGGATTTCAAATGACACCCACTTTTCAGATTTAGTTTCATTACACCTGCAGCAAGCACTTCTGAAAGTGTATACGCCCCAAGAGGCATTCTTCCACAGTGGACGATCTTCTTTATTATGCCAATACTTTGTGAAAGCTGCTTCCCTTTTCTGAATCGTTCAATGTGTTCAGCAGCCTGAAGATATAACACAAAATTATTTTATCACTAGAGATGTTGAAATTGCAGGTGCTTGAAGTCAACACACTTTAATCAAGGTCTTCAAGCAATAAGAACAATAAACTGCGTCAGATGGTGTTCATTCCTGTAGAAGAGCTTTTAGCACACAGTGAAGGGGCATGGATAGTCTTTGTTTTTCGGAACAAAAGAGAAAGACAAAAACCTGCCTTCTCCTTTTGAAAGTCAGAAGTACCTGAGCTTGTTCTTCTCTCTCTGCTCAGGTACCAGCATCTTCACGGTTTATGAGGCCGCCTCGCAGGAAGGCTGGGTGTTCCTCATGTATCGAGCCATCGACAGCTTTCCCCGATGGCGTTCCTACTTCTATTTCATCACTTTGATTTTCTTCCTGGCCTGGCTTGTCAAGGTACTGCTAATGCTCTTAAAAATATAGCTTATGTTTTATGACCATTTCTGTAGACCTTTTGTTTGTTTTTTGACTGTAGAACCCTCTTCCCTTCCCAGGCTTTGGTAAACGTGGTTTGTAACTCTCTTTCAGAATGTGTTTATTGCTGTCATCATTGAAACGTTTGCAGAAATCAGAGTGCAATTTCAACAAATGTGGGGATCGAGAAGCAGCACTACTTCAACAGCCACCACACAGGTACAGTAGCATTGAGATGATCTCAAAGACCTGCCAATACCAAACCAAGTCCATTGCCATTGATTTGGTTTCCAATGATAGTGACCCTACAGGACAGAATAGAGCCACCCTTTAAAGTTGCTGGACCTATATTTTCTCCAAGGAGCAGCTGGTTGGTTTGAACTGTGAACTTTGGTTAGCCATCAATTGCTTAACAAAGCACCAATTTACATTCTCCATCCTGACCATCCAAGCACATAAAGAAGCTTTCTTATACTGGCTTATGCCATCTCACTCATTTGTGGAGCTCTTTAAAAATTCAGGTGTTGAGTGCATAACCCAGAACAGCTACATCAGACTTTCCTGGTGGCAGAGACAGGGTATCTATAACGTAATAACCCTATGGATGGTTTTGACATGCAAATAGTACTCCCAGCCACATTGAGTAGGTACCTTTGATTTGATGTTGCTACCACAAATCTTCGAGGAGATGGCTGATAACCGATAGCGACTGTAGATTTTCCCAGTATGTGTGAGTATTTGTTTATGAATCTAGGCAATGCAGCTCATATGTTTAGGATTCAATTTTGGAAATGGAAAAATCTATAAGTCACAACTAATTATTTATAGCCTAATAAACTGTGAAGAGGGCCTCTCTTGCACACATGAATGCCTGTGATGTTTAAGGAGTCCCAATCTACTCACTGGTTACCTCTGTGCCCTTGAGAAATTGGAAGTACCTTGTAATCTGACTAAAAGCAACAGGAAAGTTATTACTTAAAAGAACAGTTTATATACACCATCGTGTGAGTGTATGTGGCGGTGGATACAAAAAGGAAGGACAGGTGTTTGTGCACTTCTGATAGGAAGAAAAAAGAGAATGCTTGCTATTTGATAAAAGAGAGAATATAAAAATTTCAGAATCAAGGGTGAAGTACTTTAGTTAATTCACTACAATGATGATTTTAACATTAAACTTTCCGAGAAAATTAATATAGATCTGTAAATATTTGTATACTTATATTGTGGCAAAGAGAGCTGAAAAAACAAATTATATATTTTACTTTGGATACTTCCAAATCAATTATTGAATAATTATATGGTAAAAAGCAATATAATATACTATTTGGAAAAAAAAAGCTTTATGCATCCTCTTTATGGTGTTGCAAAGGACTGAGTTACATCAGCCCGATCTTTATACATGAAATACTATTGATATCATTCATATGCTCACAGAGCACAGAGCAAACTCCTGGAAAGCTTTTTTGTTATGTCATAGATCCAAACGCAGACTCGCTGCTGTCAAGTCGATTCCGACTTAGAGACTACATGATAGAGTAGGACTGAGGCTGTAACTCTTTCCAAGACCAGAAAGCCTCATCTTTCTGCCTCAGAGCACCCTGTGGAGCCCAACTGCACACCCTGTGCTCAGCAGCCCGACTGGTAGGACGCTCACAGGACGGCCTGCCCCATGTCGCAGATAACAAGCAGCGGAGCTTTCCAGGAATCAGATGCCTCTCAGTCTCTCATTCTTGTAGCAAAGATACATAAAAAGAGTCAAGCCAATTCTTACATGGCTTGTCGGTGGCCAAGATAACACGGGAGGACGCGCTTTCTGCTGCAGACATCAAGACTTCGATAGCCGTCTACGCGCTGGACTCAGCCCGGAATATATATTCAATGTCGTCAAGAGCTCATGAAAAGCACCTAATCGATGGTTGTGTTATATCTTATATATAAATTATTATATCTTATATAATCTTATATATCAAACAACAGCAAGGGTCATAGTGTTTGGAAGCATCGCCAAATCTGCCAACAGTTACAGTAGAAAGGAAACTAGGAGGAGGCAGAACAAAGTTGTACAAAATTATGTTAATGCAAATATAATTAATCAGGGGAAAGAAGTCAGTAATTCAGAGGGAATGCGTCCATCCTTTGCAGTGGTAATCATGCAGAGAATTGTGAAAAACCTTCATTAAGAAAAACTCTGGGGCTGAGGATCTGGTTGCTAAGCAACCAAAGCTCCTGCTGTCAGCTCCTGGTAAGACACCACTTAGGTAGCCTAGCAACGGGCTTTCCAGGCTCCTCCCAGGCCTTCAACAGCCACTAGATGCAAGAGAGGCAGCATTATCTGTGAATCTGCTACATTTGTGAAATCTGACTGACTCTGCACAAGGGCCTCTCGTTAAATAGTTTTCAAGACTAAATCACAAGTTTTTAATTCTAATAAAACAGGCTTTGGGGCGACAAAACAAAGATGAGTGTTGTAAGGCACATAGCTATTCAGAAATGGAGTCAATTCTTGCCTTTCTCTAGTATAGAGTAAGAGCCGTTCTATTTGAATCATTCTACCTAAAACAGGGCATGTTGTATTTGTTCACGTCTGCTAGTCTATGAACTTCCTAAGAAAGCCATATATGTAGAAAGCAAATTGTACAAGGATAGCGCTTTCAGACATTTCAGTAGGATTGACTCTAATATTGACCAGTTACAAAAGATCAGTTCCTTGAAAAATAGCAAAACACAGTATTTCTTGATTTTTACTTTTCTTTAATCAATTGATTGATCACCACCAAATTTACAGCCTAGAAACAACGGGCCACAGCATAGAAACAAATTCCAGGAGAAATCAAGTGCAAACAGTGTTAAGGGAACCATCAGACAGTACGCAACAGAAACACCAAAGGAACACGCTGTGGGCATTTCAGAGCAGTGATCATGAGTCTGGGGGAGCACTGATGGGACCTGGGAAATTTGCAACCTCATGCTTACTGGACGTGGGTAACCAGATGCCCAGTTACTATTGACAAGAGCCAAACTTCCAATTCAGAAAGATCCATATGTCCATCTAAAATGAGACTGCCGTGCCACCATTGTTCCAGGGATTGAATGATTGACGAGTTAGAAAGAAATACCCTACGTATTTCTCTCAAGTCCACATTCCTTAGCAGTCTCCCTCCTGATGCCTGCTGCCAGTTTGTAGTCACTGGGAGAGCCATGGTACATGGGGGGTGACCTTATCTCACTTGGTCAGGAGGAGAATGGAGGGAACTGCTTCATTTAAAGATCCAACCAGGAGGCATTTCTGTTAAGCATCACGATAGGAGACACACAGCAGGCTTCTAGCAATTAATGAAAACCTCACTTTTCTATATGAGTCATGGTCCGGAACTGTCCCCCTATTGAGTGGTTGATATATAACAGTTTTAAATTTCAGCATCTGCCATTATCTCTGATTGAGCACTTTTTCTGGTATGTGTTTTCTGAATTAGTATCCCCCAATTGTAACAGATGGCTGAAGAGTGTTGGAATGACTTGGGGGCGGGGGATTCCTTGGCCTCCCAGCTTTACAGTTCATTAACATTCCTAGAATGTGAATTCCTAAAGGATCAAAACTACCCCTTGTGTAGGTATATAATGTTGCGTGAAAAAGTAGATCGTAGATGTCATGACACTTGAAACAAATGAAGATTCTGCTCCCCACCAAAACAGTGATTATTTTGAAAGAACCCAAAGAACATATAACTTCAAATACCTCTAGTTGAACACTGTGTTAGACAGGGTTCTCTAGAGAGATAAAAAAACAAATTGCTGATAATTAAATATATTTATTTATACAGATAATTAGATATATAACAAGAAATAAACTGTTGAATTATATACAGATAAATATATAAGAAATGAAGTTAAATTATAAGCACTACAAATGGCTCAGAGTTGTGAGAGACTAGCAGTCCTCTCTGCTGCCAGAGCGCCCTCTGTTTATGGAGAGAGTGAGGCTATCTCAGCACAGCAGCCAATCACAAGGCAGATCACCAACTGGCAACTAACCACCAGTCCCAACTGCCAGTCCCCAGCTCCAGAGATGCCTTAAAGGGACCTCAACTTACAGAGACACAGCCCAAAGGCTAGGCATCCCACAGGTAGTGTAGCCTATAAATTGAGGCAAAGAACGAGCAAGGCAGCCACACACTGGTCTGATGATCAAAGAGCAAGAGACAAGAAAGGCAAGGCTCACCGAGCCATTATCTCTCCGCCCTTCAGTTAATCCTACTTGTATTTATCGGCCAGGCTGGCATAATAAATTATATCAAACACTTTAGGATTTCCTCTGTATTATAAAAACATGTGTGTGTGTGTGTGTGTGTGTGTGTGTGTGTACGTACATGAGGCTTCAAATGTTCATGGAACATGGGATTGAAAGATAATGGAATTTTCCCACAATCTTTTAGAAGTCCCTTTAGATGTGTACTGTATATATATATATATATACACACACAGAAATGTATTGTGGGTGCATGTGTATGTGCAATGCAGACATATGAAACCCTGGTAGTGCAGTGGCTAAATGCTTAGCTGTTACCAGAAACATAAGTGGTTCAAACCCAGCAACCGCTGCAAGGGTAAAAGATGTGGCAATCTGTTTTCCTACAGCTTACAGCCTTGAAGGTCCTGTGGTGTAGTTCTTTCATGGCCTATGTAAGGCTTGATTTTACAGAGACACACACTAGGAGACTTAAAAAATGAGTGGGAAAATGGAATTCAATGAAAGTTTAAAGCCTCATTGTATATGTCTCTGTGTGTTTCTCCTGGGTTTGTAATTTTAAGCTAGTTGTTAAAGGCTCCCCTGTTACCAAGATTATTTTTCTCCCCATTTTCATCTTTTTAAATATTATTGTTTATGATGATGATGATGATGATAATGATGATGATGATTTTCCTGCAGTAGAACAATCCCCAAAGCATTTTCAGTTACTTAGTAAATCAATTGGCTTTTTACAAAGCTCTAGCAGTGGCAAACAATTTCCCAAACTGAAATCTCCCTGGCTTCCCAGGTGATTGCAAAATGAGGAGAATCCTCATGGAGATTCATTTGTGCTGTTATTAGTAACTTCACACTAAATTATCAAATACCTTATTAGAGAAGTGAACATGTATTGAGTGCTGTTAATGTCTTTATGAGGAGTCTTATTTACTTTTCATCATCATATTATAGATACTACTTTTGTGTCCATTCT